TTATATATATATACACACACAATATGAGAAGCATAAACACAGATAAAGTTTTGTAAGACCTGGCCACTGTAATATAAGGAGCTTCAAAATATTTGTAGAAAAAAAATTCCTTCATCTTTTAATTCAATTGTTCCATGTGCCTTTTGAAGTCCCCTCATACTTTTATTATGCTCTAATGATGTAAACGATGAGCCCTCATGGTGTAGTGAGTTAGTTACCTGTTGGGCTACTAACTGCAAGGTCAGCAGTTCTAAACCACCAGCCACTCTATGGGAGAAAGATGAGGGTTTCCACTCCTGTAAAGAGTTACACTCTCAAAAACCAACAGGAGCCAATCTACCCTGACCTATTGGGTTGCTATGAGTCAGAATCAACTCAATAGTAGTGAGGGAGAAGATGCTGGGATTGAAGGATTTGTCTAGAACAAAAGTGTAGTGAAGGTAAGTTTATCACATTTGCTTTGGGAAAAGTATCCTCTAGAAAGGAAAGGAAAGAAGAGGAAGAAGAAGTATTTAACAGAAAAGGCGAGTGTAGAATAAATGGGGAAACGCTGAAGAGCTATAATAATTGTCCCTTGCAAAATCTATCCATAAATCAAAATGAAAAATAGAGTTAATTCTAAGTTATACTGGCCATAGGCATGCTGAACACAGTATCGATTTAGGTTGATTCTCCATTTATATTGGAACTTAATATTGTTGTTATCTAATCAGCCCAAACTCATCGGAACACGTGCACAATCGCACCAGATCTTGGTGTTTCTCGTGGTTTCCTTGGCTGAGTGCTGGAAGGAGATTCCCCAGGACTTTCTTACCTGTCCCCTGGACTCTGGAGGCTCCACTGAAATGCGTTCAGTAGCACAGCTGCCCATAAGCCCCCAACGACAAACCAACGGTCAGAATTCCACCCCTCAAACACCCGTGCCTCTATAATCACCATTACAGAATTTGAATGGTGATTACTTAGGGAATTAGAAATTGTAATAAAAGGAAAAGTGCTCCGGGTCACAAGTGTGAGTGAAGCACCAATGGTAGGAGTTTCCGCCCAGGGCTCTGTGAGCAGTGCCTGGGAAACTTGCCAGGGTTCTGCTGGTCTTTCAGAGGTGGACTGTCCCAGGACACTGCAGGCTTTAGGATGTATCATTGAGGCGATGTTACCATTACAAAGACTTTTGGCAGTAAACGTCTGCATAAAATATTCTATATTTTGCAAAATAATTCTTAAAATGCTAGCAAAGATGAAAGTAAAATTACACTACTTTAAATATCACTTGAAGAATTTATATTAGAATTGTGTCCAGTTTAGTTAAGTTTTCAGAAACAAAGTTGTAAGTCCTGCTTTTACTATTTAGATTTTTATACTGTCAGAAAATGCCCCATAGTGATGATGGATTTTGTAAAATCCTGCAGGTGAGTAGTATGGTCCAAACCTAAGGCCGACTCATAGTGATGATTTCGGAACCACATATTAAAAAGATGATCAATGTACTCATGCACTGTTTCAATCTTCAATGGTTTTAAAGGCCAAAATGAAGACTAAATGGGAATTAATATGAAATAAATTGAACATTGCCTTTGTAAACACATATTTTGTGGGTATAGTTCCATTTAACTACTAGTTGCAGGTACAGTATTGTATTAAAAACAAAACAAAAAACAGAAGTTAGCTAATATTAGTTACGAATGTTATTGTCTTGGGGAGAGCTGTTGCTCAGATTGAAAGCATTGGTTGGGAAATGCAAAATGCAGAACAGAGTCATTAAAATACATCTACTGAAATGGGAAAGTTACTGTTGTGTACTGAGATACCTTCATATTTATACTAACCGGAATAGTATTTTAACTTACAAATATTTAAGTGTGTGTGGTACTTATTTACCTAGGGATTTTTAGAAAACGGCACCAGAAAGAGGACTATGAAGACATGTACGTTCAACTGTTAACAGATATCTTGTTAACTGTCATTCGTGCGCACGGATATAAACTGCATTCTGAAATATTACAAATAGAATAGATGAATAAATGAATGACTTATTCATATTTTGGACAAAGTAGTCCATTTTATAACATGCAAACGATGATAGATTGGTGCTTACATCAGTCATATTATAAAGATCTTGTTCATACGACAGTCAGTATAAATGTTAAAACACAGATGAAAAACGAGTCTTATCCTCTGTGTTGAATAGATTTGCCTGGCAATTAGTTAAAGCCTCTGTTTGTATTTCACCATCTTAATGGTTTACTTCTATAAACCATGGCCTTTTATCTTTGGCACTATCGGGTAAATGTTGGGCTGATAACTCTAAGGTTGGTACTTCAAACCCACCAGCTGTTCCTCTAGAGAAAAATGAGGCTGGTGGGACTTGTAAAGATTCTCCACCCCCTTGGACACCCTGAATAGAGTCTCCGCGAGTCAGAAAGGGCATGATGGCAGTTCTTCTGCTTCTGCCCTCTCTACGGCGCGTGTGGGAGGGCCTGCCTCCAGACGACAATAGATTTGATCTATTGAGTTTCCATCTTGCATATTCAAGTAGAGTCTAAATTGATTTAATTATTATTTAAAATGTTAATAGCTAACAGGAAGCTTCTAAACCTTAGCGTTTGTTAGCAAGATAAGAAATTTTTATTCTGCAAAATTGGCCATGATGAAGTAGCATGTTAAAGTGGTGCATTTTATTTTTAATGAAGACTGTTCACTGTGACTGGCAAGCTATACAAAAATCTGAATTTGCCATTATAGATAGCATTGGAGGAACCATGATAGTGCAGTCGGTAAAGCACTCAGCTCCTAACTAAACACTCAGGAGTTCAAACCCACTAGCCCCCGTGGGAAATGGATACTGGAATCCGCTTGCATAAAAATGGCCTGCCTCTGAAACCCTGTGGGGCAGTTCTATTCTGTCTTATAAGATCACCTTCTGCTAGGCTCCACTAACACTAATGGGTTTGGTCTTTGATCTAGAGACGATTGAATCCAAGGTTGTTCATTGGACCTGTCAAATTGCATTTGTTGTTTTAAATAAAGTAGCTGGGTTGCTAGTCTTTGTAACTGTGTTTTCTAAACTTCTGTCTTTCTCTTCTTGTGAGACATGCAAAAAGTCTGTGTTTTGCTGTGAATTCACTTTTCAATATTAAGCTACTTTTTATGAAATATTTAAATGTATATCCTTCTCCTTAAAAAGACAGCTCCATAAGCTTAATATATTGAAAATAGTTGTTCCCAATCATTTAATTATGACAGATATCTTTAGCTATATTTAGAGGATAAAATATAACTATAAGGAAAAACCATATACTATAGAGAAGCTATATATATAGTATATAGTATATAGAAGCTATAGTATATAGTATATAGTCCCCTGATAAATTTAGATTATTCAATTCAATCGGGGTTGAATTAGGCCAGATGTTATTAAAGGGAATTAGTGAATATGAGACCTAGTGATCACTCTCCTTTGCAACTCTATTAGACGCGTACATAAGTTATTCCCAGTATTCTCTCCAGTAATTGACAAAGCTGGACAGATGAGGAGTAGATTTGGGAAGAAAATAAGAAATTACCTAAAGCTACATCACCAGAAATAGAAATAAAAGTAATAGTAGAAATAGTCATAACAAGAGTAGTAGTAATTAATAGCATGTAAACACTTTCATAGCTATTAACTTATACCAGCCATCTCAGGTAGCTGTTCTTTGTTTTACAAATAAGAGAAGGAATAAGACATAGAAATGATAAATAACCTACCCATTTTTTATATACATGCTAGTATTGGCAGTTAAGTCCATGCACTTTAAGCTGTGTAATTATGTATACATAATTATGAGAATACCTACTTCAGTTGCCTCAAACGTATTTGAGGATGGTAGGCTTTATATGATAAAACTTTGTAAACTTGTGGGGTAGTTGAATAGATTTCAAAAGTAAATCTGTAAGTGTTCAGCTATACAAACTTGCTACATTATATGCACGCGATTCTTTTAGTTAAAACATTTCAAACTTGATTTAATTTGGGTTCATATTACTAGGTTATAGGTAGTTCTTTGTAAAAAGGCATCATTTGAAAGAGGAAATGTCCACACATGAAAATCCTTAATACTGTTTTTCTCATAGAATTTATTGTGCAAGAGACATACTCTCTTCTGCAATAGACCTGCTCACCACAATTATTCTGTTTGAGCTAACTCAGGAGCTTTATTTAGAAATATTTTAAATCATTTAGAAATTTAGAAAAAGTCTAAAACCAAATAGAGTTAAGAGCTTATGAAAGAGATCATTCGACGGTATAGGAAAACAATCAGTCAATAGAACAACATTATCCGTTCCGTTTACCTTTACTCTTTATGGCGTAGGGAATGAAGAATTGTGTTTTGGTGTGGGATCCTGGGCCTTTTATGCCTGTGGGCGTTTGGTATCGTTCAGCATAAAACCCTCCATGAACTGAGTTCAAGCACATCAGCAGCAGAAAAGCTGTTTTTGGCAGCATATTCTCAAATAGGTTCTGAAAAACAGAAAGGCATCATTTTACATAGCTTTGTTACTGACCTGTTCATCCTTCTAATGTCACATAGATAAATTCCTTACACACGTGTGTACTTTTTTTCACCCTCGTCTATCTATTTGTAATATAGTCCATACACTGAAATTTAAAATCTTTCTAGTCATGTGAATATATGTCCTGTTGTTTGGGGGAGTCAATTTTAAATAATCCAGTAAAAATGAAGTGGCTCCTAAAACAGAAACTCAGGAACCATCATTGACTATCTGTATTAAATAGTTCAGGATTTCTGACATAGACTGAAATTGCCAATAGTTTCGAAATACACTGAAGATCAGGGCATGTCCTAGCAAATAGGTTTATATTAAGAGTATTTTCTAGAAATGAATACAAAATAAACCCTCTAATTACATTTTATAGAAATCAATTATTTTAAATTACAAAAAGAAGTCGTAAATTTATTGAAGCTTGTGACCAACTAAGAGAACATATGACCAGTGAGCAGCAAGCCATAGACTTACCTGGTGCTTGGATTCCTGGAGATGGTCGCTTAAGCAGCCAGCTTTCTGAGGCCTCCTGTGCCCAGGTGACCAGTGCAGAAGAAGATGCCTGGTCCGGAGCTGCCTGGGGATATTTATACTGCTGTCCCTTATGCATGAGACTGCCCTGAGCTGATGCTCCTCCCCTCAGAGGTGGGAAGCACTAATTGTGGTGGAAAGTTCTATTGGGCAGGCGTACAAGATCAGCCTGGCCTCTTCTTTCCCTTGTTTTCTTATTGAAAAATAGACTATTTTAAATGTACATTAATAGTTTTAACCCTGCACCATCTTTTTCTCTGTTTTTATTTTTAGAAGTATTACTCAAATGCTTGGGTTGGTTCCTGATGGAACAATAGTACTCCTTTTTCGTTTTGAAAAACATCATCTTGTGTTATTAGGTTGAAAATATTCGGTGGTGTATATAAATGTAGGATGAGAATTTATTGGCAGACTGGTTATTTAATCCATCATCCAAAAATTTTAGTTCGCATAAAGAGCCATCAATATATCCACTAACATCCCTAAATATTATGGAAATTGCTGATCATTTTTGCTTAACTTTAAGCTTGAGAGAAAGAAGAAAAATGGTGAAGATTTGGGTCTTCATATTACAGGGTTTTAGTTGTAAGCCCTCAGAAGGTATTAAAAGAAACAGAAATGTGTGATATATCCTATTCAATAATTCAAAGGTTTGTGTCCTAAGTATTTGAATTTTTCAGTGACAAGACCCCTGTGCATTTGATAATAGTAACAGCAATGCAGTTACCCTGAAGAACTGTAATTCTTTATTCACAATACCACATTTCCCCACTTTGTTGCTTAACTTTATACTCTGCTTTAGAGCTGCAAGGAATTTGCAAAATCTCTTAACCTAGAAAATGCCATATTATGTTTACTTAAGTAAAGTTGGGTTCAGCTTTAAAGTATCATTGGCTAACCGTGTAATTTCCTTCAGAGATCATGAGTCACCCCAATTATAAATACTTTATTTTCTCAGAGATTAAAGCAAACATTATCATTGTCACTCGCAGTGGTAAGTGTTCTCCATAACAAGGTGAAGAGACAATGCCAGGGTCCTAAAGACGCTAAGAAGACAGGAAATTCAGAGCCCTGATTTCTTATCTTGTTAAATGTCATCACTTGGGATATAAATCAATGAGATTGTACAGGTGAAGTAGGTCGGCAGACAAATTCCATACACAGCATATATACATCATTGTACTTCTGCAGAACCAAGGTAATATTAATCCAAGATTGATCGGCAACTAAAATAATTGGATGGCCTGTATAACAAAACAGAGGCTGGGGATTTTTTTCCCCTTTTCTCTCTCCTGCAGAAAATGTTTGTGTGTTTTAAAGAAAGCCCTGCATAACAACTTAACAAAATGTATAATTCTTCTCACTACCTCCCTAGGGATAGTGTCTTATTGGCTTCCATATTTAAAAATCAACATTGTTATATATGTCTCTCTATAGTACTCATAGGGATACATGAAATGTGGCTTTTATATAACTTCAGATTGACAAGAGAATTGGGAAGTGTTTCCTTGTTATACATAGGGCCCCAATGAGTAAGAATGATAGCACCTAATAACAACAACATATTTTAATTATTCTTTCATCATTGAAAGTTATAATGAGTGCTTGTAATGGTTAGTAAGGGCCATCAAGTTGATTTTGACTCATAATGATCCACTGCCTGCTAGCTACCTTTGGCTGTAATCTAGATGGAAGCCAACTGCCAGGCCTTTCTCCTGTGGAGCCGCTGGTGGGATTAAATCACCAACCTTTTGGCTAGTCAAATAGAATTTAACTGTTGCACCAACAAGACCTTTTACCTATTGAATAGCTGTTGCAATGATAACTTACTCTACAGTTCATAAAAGACAAGTTAAAGGAAATGGCTTTCTTTGGTTTATGGTCTACTTGGGTAGGATTTTAGAGAAGCAAGTCTGGTAAAGTTGCATGCTCTTAAATGCTAGGTGAAGAATTATTTTGAAAGAAGTTATTAGAAGTACATATTTAGTATTTGTTTTGTATATATGGTGTGTTATTCTGGGTACACTAGAGAAACAAATCCACAGAAACTCATATGTATAAGAGAGAGTTTTACATAAAGGATAAGTGTACATTAAGAAAGCATCCCAACCCAGTGCTGCCCAAGCCCATAAGTCCAACATTAGCCCATGTGTCCCACACCGATCTACAAAGTCCTCCTCAATCTCAGAAAACACACACAATGATGCCGACTGCAGGAGGAAAGCCAAATCAGTGAATGTGTAAGCATCTCAGCGCTGGCAGGGGTCTCCACAAGGCTGCTCCAGCACCCAGGGTTGCATCGAGGTAGGTCTATGTGGCTTCTCCTCAGGGATGTCCTGCAGGAAGTGAGCCTTGCCAGCTGAAGCAGGGAACTGGCTAAGGCAGCTGCACCCTGGTCCAACCATCACAAAGCAAGAGACCTGAGAACTCGAAAGGCAAGGCTTACTAAGCCATTTATGTCTCTGCCCTTCAACTAATCCCACATGTGTTTATCAGCCAGATTGGCACAAAACAAACTTTAGCTATCTCATATGGATATGTATACATGTACTTATTGGTTTATAGTAAAAACTGATACCTGTTATGAAAGTTCAGAAGATAACTTCCAAATTTTAATACCCAAAAGAAGCCCTGGTGGCACATGGATGAAGGCATTGGGCTGCTAACTGCAATGTGAGCGGTTCAAATACACCAGCAGTTCTTCGGGACAAAGATGAGACTTTGTGCTCCCATAAAGATTTACTCTCAGAAACCTTAGAGAATGTTACTCGGAGTTGGGACAGAGTTAAAAACAGTGGTTTTTAAAGCACGGTATACCAGTGTAGACCATTTGTTGATCAGTGGTTACTCCAACCATTTTCGCTTATTTTTCTCTTAACCTCCTGTAGTGTTTTTGTTTGCTTGTTTGGTTTGTTTTGTTTCCTGGAGAAGATGAAAAGGTTGTACTAGGTGGTTGCTAAACTCCTCCCAACTTTTAAAATTAGATTACTTGAGATTATTCTTGTGCTTGAGGTATTCTGTTGTCTCGCATGGTCAGACTTTGGGCTTGGCTTAAATCTATTTAGTACTTGATATGTTTAATATAACTTCTTCTTTTAACAAGTATATTTAAAAACTCATACAGACAAGAAAAATCCATAGTAGGTGGTTATATGCCTTCTTGTTTGGATATATAAATATATGTGGGTATTTGCCATTCTTTATTCCCCATTAAATGTGGTATCTTTATTGGATGATTCTTGGGCACTCAACCCTTTTTGCAAATAGTTTACTTATTTCAGCACAAGGAAAATGACTGCTGTTTGCTTTGTTAGTCATATAAGAAGCACTGTCTTGACCAAAACAGATTGTAGAATCAGAATATTTGCTAGCCACACCCTACCCAATTGTGTGTTTAAAGCTATTTTTATTCTGGGTGTTTACTTAAGCTGTTTGAAGTGACTAGTCTGTGGCCTTAGGATGCAAACCCATTCCACTTAAAACAGGGAACTATACACTTTCAACCCAATAGCCTGCGTGATTTTTATTTATATCAAATATGAATGATGTTTTCAGTTTATTTAGCAAGTAGCTGTGATTGAGTTCCCCATTCATGTTCACTTCTCTGGTTTACCATCACCTCATCAGAGATCTCTGGAGTATCTCTAATGTATCAATAACTCAGATAAATGCACAGTCTTCACCTTAAAGTGTCTATAGAAAGATTCTCACACTTTCCACCACTCCAGCAGTCCTAAGAAATATGAAATATGCTCCTCGATATTTGGGAGTTCAGTAAGTTGATTCAAAGGCTGTATTATAAGGAAATCCTCTGGTAATCATAACAGATTCTTAAGTTGATAGTTCAATCAATGTTATGAACTTGTTAATATTAGTGATATAAATTGTCATGATTTCATTTTTTACTTACTCTAGAAAGTTTTCATCTTATCTAGAAATAGAATGAATTGTGCCAGATAATGTCTATATAGCCATCATTCAACTTAAACTGTTTTCATTGCAACCTGACTGGTTGTGCTACCTCCACCCCATATCCCCCATAGAGACCCTGTATACCACAGCATATATGCATGGGCCTG